TTAGAGCTGGGAAATGACATGCTTCAAACACACACCGTTTACAAGAACCTCAATCCAGAGTGGAACAAAGTTTTCACGTTGTAAGTGGATTGATTTTGAAACCATGCAGCAACTCCTGTTAGCAGCTTAACTAGAAAAGCTATTGACTTTGAGAAAATACAAAGGTCAAGTTTAAGATATATCATTTTTTCATAGACAGGGAGGATGTTGGAGAAATCTCAAATATAACTCAATTAAAGCCTTTTGCCTTTTACTAGTTCTCGCATGGAGTTTATTAATAGAAGTCATTAAAAGAAAAATTACTGTGATATTTATAGGAAGAATCATGACTAGACATAATGGAGTCATAGCTGGATCCAAGAGATAATGTAACAGAAAGTTGAGACCAGATACTCAAGCCTCCATTTCCGTAATTTAAAATACAATATGTTTCATTGAACCCTGTTAGAATTCTTGTTTAATTTGAAGTAAGCAGAAAACTAGAGCTCCTGTTGTCCCTGGTGTATCTTCTGAATTTAAACTAGCCAAACATAGCTTGCTCCAAATTTTTATGGAGATCCAAGTATCCTCTTTTTTATTTTGTTGACTTTATTAATAACAAAAGGTATAATTCCAGTATTGCTTTAAAGCAGCACATTTTTTAAATCTTGCTTTATGCTGATGAAGTTTTTTGTGAATAAGTGAGTGAGATAAATGTCTCCAAGACTGTAGCAGTATGTGGCAAGGAAGTCAACTGCCAGGGCTGGCAATGGAGTGTTTATGATATTTGCATCTTTCCACTGGTAGAAGAGTTTGAGAATGATAAGCTTCTTGCAAAAGCATCATTCAGCTGGGCTGTATGAGAACACAATAAAAAGTATCTGATGGCTTTGATAGAAGTACCTTGCTGGATTTATGTTTAATTTCTGCATGTCTCTGAGTCCTTTCTCTTACTTTGTTCCCAAGAAGCTTTCACCCATCACTGTTTTTTCTGAGATTGTGCCAGCAGATGGGTCTTGTCAGATGTTCAGCCAGCAAAATAAATCCAAAAGAATCCAAATTTATTTTATTTAAAGAGAAAGTTTGTGTCTATACTTCCTGTCGATCTCAGAAATATCAGCTACAGACTGTCTGTAACTTTATTACTAATGTTGCATGGCTAATCCAAACACCAAATCTACAGAGCCAGTTAGGAACTCCCTTATCTCCTTAGATTTTTGTCCATTGAAAAAAGTTCGAACTAAGCACCTTAAAAGCTATCACTGTTTTAGATTTGTTTTGGAACAGTGTAGGTTGTTTTGTGTGGATGAATCCATTTTAGCTGGAGCATTCACTGCTGCCAGAGATCCCTTCTCATCATTTTGAGAATTTCTGCAACACATTTGTCTCTGTGTGTCATTGTGCAGTTTTAATATTTTATACCACTGGTAGCTGTATCATATGTAAAATTATAATGGCTTGGAGAGGAATGTGGAAGTTTGGTTGCAGAGGAGTCAGGTTTCAATGTATTTTAAAGCCATAATGTCTTGAAAACAGTGGGTTTTATTGTTGTTTGGGTCACATCACAAAACATGATATGTCTGCAAGCTGGAAATAGCATCACTAATACACACAGAAAAATATCACTGTCTGGTAGTTTTTTCACCTACTTATGGGAGTGAAACACGAGGGGAAAGCTTGGGGAATACCCATCATTTGATTCATTTTGGGGGGAATTTAATTAAATGCTAATTTTATACTCCAAGGTAATACAAACTTAATTAGTAAAACAGTATTCTCAGATCTTTGTGGATGAGACTGTGTGCATGTGTATTGAATATTATTTTTTCATGTGTCTGCACTTTTTTTGTTCCAGCCCTATTAAAGATATTCATGATGTTCTGCAAGTGACAGTGTTTGATGAAGATGGAGATAAACCCCCTGATTTTCTTGGAAAAGTTGCCATCCCTTTGCTGTCTGTAAGTTACCATACCACATGTATCATTCAAACATTGATGGTTTTGCTGGGAACGAGTTGTATTTTTTTCTCTACAGCATAAAGAAACACAGATTTAGAGATAAACAGGTTTTGTGATCTGTACATGCCTTAGTTGGCAGACTTTATAGTTCTCCTTAGTGTAACAAGCATTGTCAACCCATTTAAGCACAAATTTGGTTGATTGGAAAAAAAACTGCAGAAATGTCTGTACTTCATCAGTACCATGTGCCATGTAGGTCTGAAAAGATAATTGAGTCATTCTGTATGTTTCCACATCATCTTCTGAAGGTAACATTTTAAGCATGTCTTTGTTCTGTCTTGCTTCTTTTTGCTCCAAGAAAGTAATTGCACATAACAGTAGGATTGACTAGAGATAGCTGTTGTTATTGGCACAGCTGAATAAAATTACCTAAAAGGGGTGTTTTCCACTCCATAGTGCTTTTAAAGACTGGTGGCTTTTGTTCTGTAAACAAATATGTGAGGAGTGAGCGCTACCATGGGAGTATAAAATCAAAACTGGAAACAAAGCAAGCTCAGGGGAAAGTGGTTGCTCTGGAGATTAAGGAGAGTTGAAGCTTTTTCAGAAATAGCCAAAAAAAGGCCAAGCTAAAGAGAGTGGAACATGAAAGGGTCATTAAAAGACTTTAATAGAGAAATAGGGGAAAAGCAGCTTTGTGTTTGGTAAGACTGATTTAATTTTGAAACAAGGCTGGTAATAATAGTGAGTAAACCAGATCAAGAGGATGTAAACATCTCCATGTGTATGTGCAGTGTCACAGTGTAGTTTTTACAGTAACATTTAGGAAGAACTTTCTAGGCTGTGACTTACTGAATCAATTAGTAGATTAGGCTTGAAACAGCATGGGACTCTTGTGTCATATCAGTCAAGTTGTGTAAACAGGTTTAATTGTAAGTATGGGGGTTTCCTTGAGTTTTGAGGCAGTGATGGTTTGCAGCAGGTTCCCTATGCAGAGGAGGGGATGTGACAGGTATTTACACAGTGTGTTGGAGGCTGCTGCGTTGAGTGAGCCCTGCACAAACATTTGGGGGGATGATTTATTACACAAGCATCATAGTGTGATTCTTGGGGTTGTCCTGTGCAGGGCCAGGAGTGGGACTCAGTGATCCTTGTGGGTCTCTTTCAACTCAGAATATTCTATGATGACATTTATGCTTGCAATGTGTTGCATGATTCCGGCGCTACGCGCCGTGGTGAGATGCTCTCGGTAATGCACGGTGTGATGCTGTGGGTAATGGCACTCTCGAATAGGCAGATGGTGGATCCTGATTGAAATTACAGACTACAAAATTGCAGGATTGTTTTGAAACATCCCTGTGAAAGCGTATTCACCTCAGCAGAAAGGCTGGCACACGTCTTTCAGGGTTAAAGCAAGAGCTTGTCTCTGAGTTTTAGAGGTGGGCTGCTGCAGGAAAGGCAGTGATAGGTTCGTGTCCTACCAGACATGATTTTCGAGACGGAAGGGAAAGATCCCATCTGATCAAGGCAGGCCATACAAGCCCCACAGCATCAGCATAGTTTAGATAAGGGGCCAATCAAGATCAGAGAGGGGAACTGTAGATATTTGATGTTTCCAAATAAATAATGAAATGCCCAGAATACTCTTGAGCTGACTTAGAGGATATGATCCCAACCTAAGGAATGCTTTATAGTGGTAAAGAAATAGGCCAGTGTGCTCCAGTTTTGTTATGATTTTGTCTAAATAAGTGTATTTCTTGTGTATGTGAAGTAAAAGCAATGTGGCTTCTGAATCTCTTCATGAAAGTGTTTGTTTTCATCCACGCTGTGCTCTTTCCAAGTCACACTGGAGTTTGCAACAGAGGAGCCCCTGCAGTTCAGGGATATAAAGATCTTAAGCTATAGGAGCTGAGGAGTAAATACTCAGCTCTTGGTGTCCCACATGCTGTTGTGTGCTTTGCAATGCTCTTTCCTCTGTGGCTCAGACTGCAGGTTCTTTTTGGGGATATTTTAGATTGTTCGTCTATTTTAGTGGCTTGAGTTGTCCATATCTCCTGTTTCCGAACAATATTAGAGTCAGTTGGGCATGGAGGATGATTTGATGTTTACAGGGAGGAAAAAACCTCTTAACATCTTTTATTCCATTTTTGATCACTTTGTTAATTTTTCCCCAAGTCCTCATATCTCTGATGTTACTGGAAGAGAGTGGCTGGAGCAGCTGCTCTCCTGCAGATCCAGAGCTTGCCAAATGGTCTGCATGATCGGCAGCAGGCTGTGTGGGCTCACAGTGAGAAGATGTTAGATTTGGATTTTCTGTTGATTTTATAGGCATTTGTCAAGTATCCCTTAGGAAGCATGTAACAAGGCAGAGGAGGGGAATGCATGTGTGTGGTAATGTCCAAACTATTCAGTGTAGGTTTTTTTGTCCAAGGTTTGAGACAAAAAAAATGAAATAAAAATTGTTTATCCTTTCCCTTGCCAACTGATCTTCTTCCTTCCCATCCAAACTTCTCTGCCTCCTATTTCAGTCAAATTTAGTGTAAATATACTTGTCTCTGCTTCTGATTAAAAAGCATTTTGCACCTATTAACTTGGTCTGCTCAGACAAAGAATGGTAATTTTCTAAGCTCTTTTTCTTGAAACAGGAATTTCAATGTATGTTGTCATTTTAACTGTAAGTTTGAATGTATCCTTTGAACCATTTAGATAAATATACTAAAAGAGAACAATAGTTAAAGACTCAAGGAAGCCTCACAAATCATGTAGGTTTAATTTCTCTAGGTAATCAGGACTAATATTTGCCTGGCATTAAATTGTCTTTTGAAAATAGATGTGCATTTGCCAGTTTTTTCCCTGTTAAAAATGCACAGGTTTGACTTGTGAGCTGTCAGCACATGAGGGAAGTTTACTTCAGGAATTGTTCATGGATGACTAGATTCTTTTCTTAATGAAAAATTGCCTTGAATAAAGTATGTGTTGGAGGGATATGCAATGTTTAATTAATTTGACAATGAATTTTGGGTTAAATGTGTTCAGTAGTCCCACACTGGCATTTTGCAAACATGAGTACACCTTCAGCATCACATTAACACAAGAATGATCTTAGTGCACAAAAATTCAGGGACTGTGACATTTTGTGTGCTTTCCATTCATCCTTGACTGTGGTCTAGGATTACTACAGGCACCAAATAAGAAAAATAAAAAACTGGACAGCATGAGAAGAGTTTTAAGGTGTCAAATGATGAATAAAGATGCAAACTTGACATTTTTCAGATAGATGTGATGAAGCAGTATTGGATAAATACACATTTTGGTAGCAAGAGGCTGAATTTGGGGGATAGAGGGAGAGAAATGATTTGTATTTTACATTTTGCTTTTCCACGTTGATCAACCTATGGTACATTTTTCCTCCCGTCCTTTTTGTCAAACCAGTGCTCTCCTCTAAAGCATGTGTAACATACCTCATCTCAAATACAACTCTGGTCAGCAACTTTCACAGAAGCAGAATTTAAACTGGGAAAGACACAGATTAGTGCTACCAGGGTATTCAGTAAAATGGATCACTCACGTGCCAGAGATGACCTATAGAGTGTGGCTTGCCTAACCTTTGAGCTGAGAGGGAGATTGCTGTCTTGGAGCCTGGGGAGTGAAAGAGAAGACCATGTACACCACTGAACAGAGCAGGCTTTTGTGCTAGAAACTGAGGAAGAACCTGGGGAACAGAGAACTAGGGCAAAAACTTTATTACTTCAAGAAAGAAGTTTGATAGGTTTAGAAGTTTTGTAGGTTCTGGGGGACTTGAACTAATTATCAAAGAAGTCCTTTCCATCTCTGTGTTCCTTTGTGCCCTAGATCTTAGTAAAAGCAACCGTGTGTCTCTTTGTGAGGGTCTGTCTTTTTTCCTCTGCTTCAAGAGACTCCTATCTCCTAGAAGGCTGCAAGTTATTAGAGGCATGGGAGCTTATAGTGTGCTTCAATGAATTTGAAAGCAGAGAATATCAAATATCCTCATGGCGAAAGACCTTTGAGTGAAGAGTTGTAGAGCAGAATGGAATGTTTTTTTTATCTGCCGGATTATCAGCTCAGAGTAGTCCTCAGCTGCACCCTTTTTTCAGCAAACAGGAAGAGGTCTATGAAATATTTTCAAGTGCCAAGCAAGGTCAGTAGCCAACGATACACTGAAAACAAGTATGCCTTTCGCAAGCTAAATTGTCTAAACCATAGCCTGGATTCAGAGAACAGACACCCGATGACTGCAGTTACTTAGCACTTGACCATAGCACAGTTTTCCAGGAGAAAGCTTAAGAGTTTGAGGAAAAGTGAAATGACTGTGTTTATGCAATAGAGACAGCTGTGAAGTGTGTCGTCTGTTCTGACTTTTATCCTGATCGTGAACCAGGATTTTTGGTATGGGGAAAAAATCTCCCACATCTCTTCTAGAAAAAACAACACCTTGTTTCTGAAATTAGATTCTCCCCCGACCACGCACTGCTCACTGATACGGTATCAACAGGAATGATTTCTCAAGTATCACCTAGGATCCTTGTGCTCCCAGGGTTTTCAGCTCCTTCTCAGACTGGCTGGAAGCCTTCATGTGGCTGCCTGGTTTCTTTCAATTCATCAGCTCCATATCTATTTGGTCTTTGGATATCAAACTTCTGCCAAGAGCCCAAATCTCCATTCTACTTTGGATCCCACAGAAGGTTGTTAAAAGTGAAGTGTTTGGGGCAAAGTGTTTTGGGGTGAATGAACAGACATTTTGTACAAAATTGGTTCACCATATATGACAATGCTGGGGAGAAACAAAAACCTCTTTATTCGTGTACAGGTGGATTAAATATGTGGCTTGCTTTCATCTTTTCCTGGGGAAATCTGTCCTTTGATAAGGGTAGGTGTGTGTCTATTACAAGACAGCTTTATGTTATTCAGGGCAAATGGGATGACATTGTGCATCAGCAATGAGCTCGAGCAGGAATATCAGAGGTCCCAAATGCTTTAGATGAATTACCCTTGGAGAGTAGCCATTACCCTTTCCACACGTCACGGGTGTTGATGTACAGAGGTTTAAGCCAGTGTTCTTCTGTCAGGTCATCAATATATGACATTGAATCTGCATCAAAGCTGGATACAGAGTGAAGTTTTCTTAAAATCAATGTTAAAAAAAAGAAGCCACTAAACCATATTTCTTTGAGACAAGAGCAATGAAAAAACACGCTTTGCTGCGTAAGGGTCCTGTCTTCTCTGTGTTTTGTGTCATATCAATCTCGGCTTTTGCTATTTCATTAAAATTCCCAAGCGGTCAGAAGGTTGTTGCTTAATAGATTTAGCATTGGCTGGCTGCATCAATACTGTGTTTAGTCACATTTGTTTTACTGGGGACATCTGTGTGAAGAGTTTAGCAAATATATTCATTCATTTGAAAGGAACCTGGTGCACTTTGGACCTTGACTGTACGGTGGTCTCATGTACCTGAACATTTCCTTCAGTTAAAGGCAACTTCTGGCAGTGTTTTGCCTGAAGTGCCTCTGTAGGTTTAAATACTTAATGCAAACAGGAATTTTAGCTTGTTCTCCAACTGATAATCTCCTTTGTGTGGTCTGGTATGGAGGAGGGATATGTATGATGTAGAGTATTTAATTTGTTCAGTGAAACTATGGATGTCTTTCTGTGTTGACTCAGAAAATACCCCAAACATCAGAAATTTCCATGGGGTGAAAATCCAAACTGTTTTTCTGATGGTAACCTTGCAAAATGCAGCATGTGGGCGGGCACTAGTGTCCTCATGTTAATCCCAGGGTTATGGGCAGTCTTGGCTGGTGGTTGAGCCCCAGTATGCTGTTTGCTATAAAGAAGCTTTCAGTGAATGCAGACATTAGTATTCAGTGAGCATATAAAGCATCATCAATAAGGAAATAATATTATGTCTTTTAACTTGCTTACCTGCAGATATTTTTGCATTTAATTCGAATAGTCTTTTCCTTCCCTTTTCCTGTAAGTAGATGTTAATAATCATAACAAAAATAACCTGTTTTAGACACAGCTACCAGGAGTATTCATTGAGTAAAATCCATGTGAGATCCTCACATGGTATGTAGCAAAAGGTGTTTGGGTGATAGAAGAAACCTGATCTTTTTGACATTGAGGTTCATCCTAGGAGCCCAGCCCTGGCTGCTCACAGCTGGAGGGAGTGTTAAAGCAGTCTTAGCAAATAGCAGAAACTGGGGAAAAGTACCCAGAGAGGAGAAAGAAATAGATCCAAAATGAAATTAATATGACTGTGTGTCTCTTGAGGTTGAGGAAGAAGCTGAACAGAATCTGAACTCTGGCTCAAGAACAGCATGCAATGAAAACATAGAGTATTTTGCATGTTTTTTTCTGGGCACAGTTGAGACATGCCACCGATCTAATCTCCATGCAGTCACGGGTGTTAGCATTACCCTGTACCTTTTGTTGAACTGCACTGCCTCAGCACATTGCCAAAACTCTAAGAGAGTCTTTTGTTTGACTTCTTTTTCAGGTGTTTTTTTTAAATTATCCAATTGAAAATGTAGTGGAGACAGGACATTTCATAGCTAGTTGCTCTTTCATGTGTTCTTTTTAATTCAGAAGAAGGTCAAAAGCTAGGATATGAATGTTTAGTCTTAGGCTGAGTTATAATTGCACATCTTTTTCCAGACAATTCAAACACCTAGAATTAAAGATGCCAAATGAAACTGACTGTAAAACTATATTTGCACTGCATTACTCTCTGCCCTGTTCAATTTTAGAATAGCAACAATAATAATGACACAATTAAAAATGCTTCCCAAGCAACCCCTATTTCCAAATCCAGACAGAGATGGAAGCTATTTGTTGCTGATTTAAAACTTGCTGTGTGAACACACCTGCAGACACACCCAAAATGTTTGATTCATCTCCAGCTCTTAAAATGAAGAGTCTTTTCCCCAAAGTCCAAAGCGTTTTTTGAGTGCAGAATACCATAGGCTCAAATACATTTCTTTTCCTTTTTCTATCAATATAGCAGCAGTGACATTTTCTCTCATTGTGGGTTACGCTCTTGAAAGATGTGAGAAAGAATTATATCCCAAGGAATATAAAGAGAGCTTCCTAGTAGTTGTTGCTCCTAGTGTAACAGGATGAAATGTGATGATACGTGTACCTGAAATACATGGAAATTCAGCTCCCAAATTAATAATCCAGAATTAGGATATTGTGATATATATTGGACATCTGAATTCCTGCAGACACACTGGGAAGAAAGTGCATTCTATCCTGTTGCAAGAGAGCCCATGAATCAAAGCTCAAGCTAAATCTGCTGCTGGGGCATCCCCTTGGACCAACAGCCTCAAACCAAATCCTTTTGACTCTGTGTTCTTACCATTAGTAAATCCATTTTTCATTTAATTTGGTAAATTCAACTAAATCTTTAACTTCCAAACACATTTTTTAGTCATTCAGTAATTTTAAAAATTATTTTTTACCCTTGTTTGAAGGAGGAAAAACAAACTGGTAAAATAGCAGAAACCTTTATGACAGGTTGATGATGCTGTATGTGATCATTGGTCTCAGGACCACCTGATGCCAGTCCATTTGGCCCTAGAAAAGTGTCTAGTCACTTCAGCAGCTCTTCTGTTTTGGGGCTTCAGTTCTATGAAGTAGATTTTTACCTGCCCCTTTTCTGGGAGGTGTAGAATCCTTTGCTGCCAGCTCTAAGCCTGTGCAAACTCTCTTGTGGTGAAATCAGTGGTGCTTTGTGATGAGTTTAGGCCAATGCCTGTTTTTGTTATTATTTATTGGTATCAAATAAATTCCGCATAGCCATGGATAACTGGCAGCATCCTGTTAAGAAAGGCTTTGGATGAGAACGTAGTTAAAAGCTGGAGGTCCAGGTTGGACACCACTGTGGATGTGAACCTGGTTCTTATGAGAGCCCTGTTCCCTCTCAACACGTAGTCGAAAAACCATCTACCCTTTGATGAGCTGTTTGGTATAGAAAGGGTGGAGCAGCATTGGAAAGAAAGTGACCTTTCCCTTGTCTTGTGAAATCACTTTGTTCCCTGGCTCATGTCTGCCATGGTTTATATGAATGCCTCTTCTAAATGCCAGAGCAGCAATAGCCATTTTAAATATGGTTGCAATTTCATGCCCCCAAATTTCCTCTGTTATCTTTAATCCTTGATCATTACAGTCCCTCAATGTAGCTTTTTGGTAAGCTGCAGGTTTTTATGTTACTGCTGTTTAGAATTAACTGGTCTGCTTCCTAAAAAGCCAAATGTTTAATCAATACATATCCTACTGTGTATAATAAATACATTTCTGCCATCACTTTTTGAAGAGAGAATGCTTTTGGTTTGAGCCAAATAGTTTACAAAATGGTGAGGGAGGGTTTTTTTTCGTTGCTTGGGTTGGATTTTTTTAATAGATGCTTAATGAGATAGGGCCAACCGGTGGATTAGAGTCTAGAAATTGTATTGAAATTCAGGGGTGGGGTGGGGTGGGGGAGAAGTCTTTTACAGGAATTAGTTAATTTTGAACATTTGTTACATTAGCATTCGCTCCACTTCAGCTGATTCATTTCTTTGGATTGCAATTGTTTGCTGGGTAATAATTTGACAACGTTGCAATGAACTAAGCATTAAGAAGTGGTTTCATGTACTGGAGTGTGCAATAGGTAGGTAAAGTTGTTGTTTGTGGCTCTTTTCCTGAACTTTGGAAGAAAAATCCCATTTGAAACCTGTAATAACGGAGGCTGATTACTTCCCATCAGCTCACTGGCTTCCAGGGCAGAATTTTCAGACTGGTTATTGCGTGCACTGCTCTACTATAAAGTACAAGGTCTGTAAATTAAAGTTGGACCATAAGAGATTTAATCTGCAATTTTATAGGTCTCTAATCCAACAGTCGTTTTGTATTTCAGGCTCCAAGTATATTATCAGGGTTTAGGGAAGGGTTGAGGGGTTTTTTTTGTGCTTGGGTTATATTTATTTATTTGTTTGCAGTGTCTTTAAATTACATTGTGAATTACAGCCAGGAAAATATTGATGCTTTTTCTCCCCCTCCCCAAACTATAGATTAGAAACGGTAAACAAAGTTGTTACACGCTGAAGAATAAAGACTTGGAACGTGCTTCAAAAGGAGTAATTTACTTGGAGCTGGATGTCCTATTTAATCCTGTAAGTTGAAGTATTTTCTCTTTGCTTATCGCTGGTATAAGAAAAGTGAGAATCTGCAAGGACAAGGGTGGGGGTTGATGCTTTAAAAACTGGGAACCAAGCAGGAAAAGTCCTGACCTGGCTGCATCTGGTGGTGGAGGGGTGTTTGATGTCGTGGGTGAATAATACTGGGCTGTCAGAGTTCTGTGGTGGCCCCTCCGGGTGGATGGGACATAGCAGGGGCATTTTTGGGCTGACAAGTGACCACAAGCACCTTAGGAAGGAGGTGTTGATTGCCGTGGCCACAGCTTCAATTGCAACAGCCGAAAAAGGGCTTAATGTTCATCTTATTATACATTACTTTTAACACCTACTTCGTCCCCAAAAAAGCTGACCCATGATGTTTTCTTCCCAGGGTGTTGACAGGAAAATTAATGAGGCATGGACACGGTGCGCTTAGTTTTTAGGTGGTTGAGTCAGTCTCAATCGTTTATACCCTACAGCTTTTTACCGAGTTTAATCCTATTTATAAAGGCCATCACGGGCTGCACCACAGCTCTGCTCTTGCTCAAGTGAGTCGAGCCTTGCCCAATTTAATTCATCTGCATTTTCCTTAGCATAGAATCATAGAATGGTTTGGATTGGAAGGGACACGAAAGCTTATCTCAGTCTTATCTCCCTGCCGTGGGCAGGGGCACATTCCACTAGATCAGGTTGCTCAGAGCCCCATCCAAACTGGCTTTCAATGTTTCCAGGGATGGGACATCCACCACTTCTCTGGGCAACCTGTGCCAGTGCCTCACCACCCTCAGTGTAGAAAATTTGTATTAAGAGCAACACTTGAGTCACGAAGAGGCTGAAAAGAGTGAGAGATACTGAAATTCCTAATCTTCCTGAACAGCACAGGTGACATGAAACTGAAATATCGCATTGAAAACTACATGATGTTATTTTTATAATTTTCTTTTCTTTTAGATAAAAGCTAGTATGAGGACATTCAAGCCCCGAGAAAAGCGTTTTACTGAGGAGAACCGCAAATTTTCTAAAAAGGTGAAAATTGTGTCTGGGCTAAACTCTTGCATCTGTTTTGGAAAGATTTGAATTACTGTAGCATGGCTGCAAGTACAAAACCTATTTATGCATAAAATGCCGAACACATGTAAATTCAGTGTATTTCTGTATATATTAAAAGGTTTGTTTGTGTTAACATGAAATTGCTTTCTGATCTAGCTTGCATCAGTAGTTCTGCTTCATGCTTCAGAGTGGGGAAAATGATAGCTGTGGATTTTGCACAGTTCGCAGCACTTAAAGCTCAATGAGAGCCTTATTCCCTTCTTTAGGAAGGAAGAAACCAGGGCTAAATTCCTTATGTAAAAAGTCCATAGGATTTTAGAACAATGGCCATTACTCTTTTTTAAAATAAAGGTGCCCTGTAATAAGTGTGAAATTCTCTATTTATTTCTATGGATTAATCCAAAACATGTAGAGAAGAGATTCAGTGTTTTGACTACATTTTCTCTGGCCCTTTTCCTGAGACACTGATGTATTTTGATAATTGTACAAGGATGACGGTAGGTTTCTGTGACTGTTTTATTTAGTTTTGGCATCAAGGCATGTCTTTTTTCTTTTTTTTCTTCTTTTTTCTCTTAAGGGTAGAGGAAAATCTGGAAGGTTTGGGTGTAATCAGAAAGCAGACAGGAGCTGGAATGTGTCTCTGAAATAGAGGCTTTATTTGTAAAATGTGCCCTGGCATGTATTTGTAGTTTAAATTATCCCTGTTTCTGAAGCAGTAGTAGGATATTAGTGTGTTTGATTAAACTCCTCTTCTCCTCCCTTCCTCCCACTCAATATTTATCAGATCTTATCAAGAAATGTTGATCGTGTGAAAAAAATCACCATGGCAATATGGAATACAATACAATTCCTTTGGAGCTGCTTTCTCTGGGAGTCCACGGTAAAGAGCTTGATAGCATTTGTGGTAAGTGGATTTCTTCTTTTATTGCATGAGGCTAAGTGATATAAGATCTTGAGTGTTACTGTGCTTTCCTCTCCACCAGCGCCAAACCCTTTGTCATTTGCGCTTCTTGGTGTTTTATAGCTATGTGGCTGCAGAGCTATGGGTTTCAAGTTAGCTTGGGCCACACTGGGCCTGCTGGGGATGGAAATTAGACCTTCAGGAATAGTCTTTCTTCACCTGATGCAGAAGTATTCACCAACCTGTACCAAGCATTGATGATGCCCATGTCCATGGTGGGTGATGCCGCCATTCAAAGGCTGTGATGGTGGTGGAATTTTTAATTATTTTTGATGTAAAACGTGGCAACTGGGTGATAGGAAAGGAAGGAGGTGGTGACCAAGAGGGTGATGTAGGGAGATGCCTATGATCTGAGTGATGCAGTGAGCTGATGGGTCTTGTCCCTTCCATCTTCCATTGCAATGAGGCAGCACTTCATTACAGGTTATCAATGCTGTGCCTGTGTTGACATTGCCTGTTGCAAATTTATTCTCTTGATTGTAATAATGCATAGGTTTAAAAAAAAAAGAAAAGGGTGGTCAGTAAGTTCTGCTGTATTCTGCAAACAAAAAGCCAAGTTCTCCACCTGTCTGTTCGACTTTTCAGCTCTCTCCTTTTTCCTCTTGGTAGTAAACACCCCATTTGCAGTTTTCTCATAATCCACTCAAGCACAAAAAGGTTTTGCCTGCTTTTTATTCTGCGGTGTGACATTTTCTTCATGCTTGAAATGTCTGGCATGCCATTAAAGGTTGCAAAATCGTTTTGTGGTTGTCCAGCATGCAGAAAGAAAGTTTTTGAGTTGAGTGTTTATTAAGCAGTATAACAGCCACATCTCCAAGGTTTTCTCCTGCTTTTACTTTCTGTGAATTGTAAGATGCTGAAAGGGTTTTTTTCAGGAAAACACTTCAGTGTATTTGACACAGATGAGTAAAGTAGGCTATCCCTGATGGAAAGAAGGTCCAGAGCAAAGACAGGAGCTGTCTTCACCCTGTAGGTCAGAGGGATGGCTGACACGTATGAGTGGGTAGGATGAGAGGGTCTTTTCTCTGTATTTTTATGTCTTCTGTTGCTTGAAGTTCATTTACATCATATTATGTATATTATATATGGTGAATGGCTCAAGAGCTGGTGGAGAGCAGAGTAGCTGGTACCTTGCTGAAGTCCATGTGGCTGTGCCCAAGGGAATAGAATGGTCACTCATGCTGGGGCTGGAAAGGGAGGACCCTATGTAAAATCCCAGTGCTGATGTC